TGCTGATGTTATGTTCTAAACTTCTGCCAGGTTACATATTTTATAAGCTTATTTCCAAGGCTGTACTAAAAAAAAAAAAACCCTCTGATACTAGACATACTATTCAATCAACATGATGGGCAGGCACTAATTGCTTTATCTAACATTTTCCAAGTCCTAGAACTACTAAGTCCCAATCTGTACCTCTTTGGATGACCAAAATAATTGTGTGCGCGCGGACATGTAACCATGCATGCACATTGAGTAAAGTTCTTTCCCTTACAATTGGCATCATAAAGCACTATTTGCTCACAAATTGACTCTAAATTGTACTGCATAAACTGGATTAGGTTGCTTATCATATATTCCATCCAATTTGGAGAAACACGTGCCAATCTGCTTTTGTTAGTGAGAACAAACACAGAGGTAACCATCATTTCTCATTCATAAGAGACTTTAAAAAAATTACAGAAAGAATGCTTACTGTTAAAAATGGATGCCTAGAATTCTGCAAAACCCGGTTTTCTGTCAGAGTATGTGCTACTTCATCCTGCAGGACAACCGAAATAGTAAAGAATATGTGACAATTCAATTTTACTCATTAAAAACTACTTTTGACAGAAGAATGAATAAAACAGCCTTTCTAAATGTCCTAGAAAATGAAGCAGAGCATTTAAAAGCCAGTTTATATAATACAGGTGAGAATAATGTGGAATTCTTCCAGACTGCATCTCAGAAAATCATCAATTTGGAAAGGACCATTTAGGTCCCTGAGTCCAATCTTCTGCTCAGCTCAGAAACCCAAATTCAAGCATCTCTGCCAGATGGCTCTCCATCCTCCTCAATCACTCTCAAAATAACTGGCATCACTGCTGAAGGTTACTGCTACTGTCAGAAGACATTTTTTGTGCCTTACAGTAACATAAAACTATCATTGTATGTTTTGCACTCTGAAGTGTTGAAGGTCATGAACTGTGCAAACATCTTGTCAGAAAATGGAAAACCAGCATTTATGCCCTGACCTCAGACTATTCAGACCTTTTAATCTCTCTTTCCTGGACTCTATTACTAGTATCCTGATTGTCTTCATAGTGGTTCCCTTAACCTTTTTTCCAGTTTGTCTGAATCCCTAAAGTGTGGTGCCAGAACTAGAGAGAATACACCAGGGGTAGGAACTGACCAGTACATAAAGTGAAACTATGATTTCCCATTGTTTAGAAACTATAGTTCTGTTGATGTACCTTAAAACCTCATTTGTCTTTTTGTAGCCGCAACTTGGGGCTGTTTCATACTCAGTTTGCACTCAACTACTACTTTCAAATATTTCAAAAGTAATATTGCTAAGACAGATGCCCTGCATTCTGTTCTCCTGCAATCTATTTCCTGTTTTCTAAGTGAGGAAACTTGCATTTGCTTCTAGCAAATGTCTATGGAGCTTCTATCTTGCTTCTATCAAGTTTTATTTTATGAGCTTGAGCCCAATTCTGTAAGATCATTTGAATTTTATTTCTGCCTTCTAAAGCATCAGCTGCTATTCCACAAACCTGATAAGGCTTCCTTCCCCCTTTTCACCCAAATAATCAATAAAATCCTGTGGAGTGCAGAAACATGGCTGAATGAGTGTAGCTCACTTGATATTTCAATTGCCCAGCTGATGACAACCCTGGGTAGTATGATGTTTGAAATAGCTACAGTATGTATCCACTTAACTGTCGCGTCATTTAGCTTACACTTAGTCCGCACTAGCTCGCTAATCAGTATATTATGCTTTGTCAGATTCTTTGCTGAAATCAAAATACATTACATCTCCTGCCATTCCTTGTCATTGACTTGGCTGGCTAGGATTGATGGGAGCTGGAGTTCAATGCCTGGAAGGGCACACATTCACCATAATATAATTAACTTATATTTCAAGGACAAATATTTTTAACCTATGTGATATGGCCAATTTTAGCCAAAATGTTAGGAAAAGCGCTAACATCAGGAAGTTTCTTCAAAAAAAGATTACGATAAATCAGATGTTGTCTGTCTCTCTCTACTGATCTAGGCAACATGGGTGGGTTTCCAATTAGATTTGATAACCACAGATCAATTCAGGTTGAACAAACTATTTGTTTATTTGGGGAATTTATATTGCAGCCTATTCCCATATAGCAACTCAAGGCGGCTTACAGAATATAAAACCTTATATAAAAACAACAGAACTAATAAAAGAAGAGTCATATAGTAAATTAATATAGTAAAATCCCCCCCTGCCCCGGTGACAGCACTTCATTCGAGCCATTTAATGGGCTCCATCCTGCTCTGGGTTCCCAGGTCCACTGGCAGAACCAGGTCTTCAGTGCCTTCTGGAAGAGCATTAGAGTGGGGGCCATTCTAATCTCTGGGGGAATGATGTTCCAGAGAGAGGGGGCCACCATGGAGAAGGTGCTTCTTATGGGTTCCACCAGGTGTATCTCCCTAAGGGATGGGACCCGCAACATTCCCTGCTTCTCTGCTCTGATGGGTTGGGTAGATGTGACTGGCAAGAGACTGTCCCTCAACTATAGTTGTCTAACTCACGTATAATGCCAATCCATAAAGTATGGGTTATAAACCACTGCAGTTGGGTTCAGATTTCATCCAGAACCAGACCAAAAACAACTACACTGACTTAATTTTATGTATGAAGTTTGCTCAAATTGACAATTTCAGCTTTTATTAATTGACTGGCTTCAGTTACAGTGTTCTGCAACATGTTTTCAAAGAACAGAACAGATTCTCACATCCCAATGTTATTTCCCGATTCTTTTAATTGCCAAATATAATTGCACAAAACATAGCTTGTCTAGCTCTGATATTAAGGCTTGTACAGCTAGTACTAATCTGTGGCTTCATGTCATATTAGGGGAAAAAACAGTGATGAAATTAAAAAATTTCCTTACCAATTCTGTGGGCGTGGCTTGGTGGTAGGGTCATGTGACTGGGTGGACATGGCCAACTTTTAAAAAACTTTTAAAAGCATTTTTTAACTACCAGTTCTCCCGGTAATGCTAAAAAAAGTAAATAAAAAAGTTCAAGCGGTCAGCTGTGTAACAATCAGCTGTGCCGCACAATTGTCGGAACTTTAAAAAAAAACTTTTTAAAGCATTTTTTTATAGCGGTTCAGGTGAACCGGTAGCATTTCACCCCTGGGAAAAAATGATCTCAATTCTCTGAGAATTTAATTCATAAATGAGATGAAATGCATCTTGAGGTTCAAAAACCTCAAGTTTGAAAAAAAGAAAACAGTCCTGACATATTCAGCATCCCTACTGTTCTAGAAGGGTAAACCACAACAATCTTACCTTTGCAACAATTACTTCCTTCTTCAAAATTTTCATGGCATAATAGCGTCCAGTTGCTTTCTCTTTCACCAGAATGACCTTTCCAAAAGTACCTTTTCCCAGGAGCTTAAGGTACTCAAATTCATTCATTGTCTGTCGAAGACAGGTTTAAAATGTTATAGGCCAATTAAACAGTAAATGAAGGAAAATAACTGACAACTTAGATCAACTAGTTCTCTTATCACATGAATCCAGGATTTTCAAAAGAAGAATAAATCATAGTGGCTGAGTTTGCACGTTATGCTAAAAACCAAAAATAAACTGAACAAATTAAAGTTTAAAAAGATGAATTAATCCAGATACTCTATGCATTCATGTAGAGATATAAAGAAATACCTTACTAACTGTATTCCAGAATTATCTGAATGAACAACTGTTTCAATGTATGTCACTATCTAAGGCAATGTTTGTCAACTTCAGCAATTTTAAGCTGTGTGGACTTTTAATTTCCAGAATGCTGCTGGCTGGGGAATTCTGGGAGTTGAAGTTCATATAGTCTGAATTTGCCAAGTTTGCGAAACATTGGCCTAAGTAAATGAATTAAACTTTCCTATTTGCTACAGTAAGTACAACAAATTTAGTACCCTGGATAAGCTTGTTAAGATTATAACTTAACAATAGCAATAGCACTTACAATTATATACCACTCCATGTGCTTTAGAGCAGTTTCTGAGAAGTTTACAAATGTGAACCTATTGCCTTCAACAATCTAAGTCCTCATTTTACTGACCTTGGAAGGATGGAAGGCTGAGTCAACCCTGAGCCAATCAGGTTTGAAATACTTCATTCTAACTACTGTGGCACCAGGGCTCTTTAATTTATATTTAATTTATATTAAGCTATACCTGCCTTACAGTCTAAAATGCAGATATGGTTAAATATAATTCAATTTCCAGCCTTCTAGATATTTCCCTGCCTGTTGTAAAATTCTATTAGAAAGCACTGTATCCAACCATATAATTTGTCCCTCACCTCTACAAGGGCTTGGCACTACCCCTCGGAAAATGTTAAACTCCTTTAACTTTTGAAGAAGAAACTCGTCTAAAGTTACCCCAGGCATTCCTGCAACAGTTTCTAAACCCCAACCAACACAGCTATTGCTTAGGGATAGTAAATGCTGAAATCAAAATAACTTGAAGAACACAAAGCTACAAAAGATATTCAAATTGATGGTCTCTCAATTTGATGGTCTTTAGATGCATTGGAGACTACGTGAGAATTTTAGAAACTGGCAGGTACCATATTGAAAAAGGCAGCTTATGACACTGAAGGACATGTGGAATTCACATGAGTGTGTGTGACTGAAAAATAATACTTACTACTTTGTGTTTTGGTTTTGTCATTGAAATTTCCATTTCTTCAGCACCTGAATTATCACTGGGCGAACCAGATCGAAAATCCATGCTTTCTTCCTCTTGCTTCTTAAGGCTGTCTGCTACTGTTTGGATGGCTTTTGTCCATTCTTCCCTAAGAAAATATAAAAATTATTTCATTGTGATGTGTGATTTTGGAAAAGAGTAGGGGGAAATGCAAAGCTTACTTCCAAGCTTACTTTCCAAACAATAATTGGGCTTCAATCATGTTTGGAATGTTAGAAAACAGGAATAGGAATACTGTTAGGAACCACCATTTTCCTTCCTAAGATATTTTAAATTCTGGTCTGGAGTAAAATGTGTTCTTCTGGTTATTATATAGGACAGTAGGACACCTGGTTGGTAACAGATGACAGATATTTCAGTCCAACATACTTGAAAGCTATTTTTTGGGAGAGGTAGAAATACTAGACCAGTGAAGATGAAACTTATATCCACCGAGTGCCCAAATTGTATGCATCCATGCCCAAACTGAAAGGTGTATGCACGCAAATGTGTGCATGTGCGAACATGTGCACATGCATACATGCACACATGTGCAGCAGAGACCCAAAGCCCAGCTGGCTGGCGGGAGGAAGGCATCCCAACACCGGCAGCGCAGCAAGATCTTTTTCTTCCGTGAGCTTCATCATTTGCAGGGAAACAAAAACTCACGGAAGGAACGCCACGAAGATCTGACCTGGGGCGATGGCACCAGCAGAGAGGGTTCTTTGTGCCATCTCTGGCATGCGTGCCATAGGTTCGCCATCATGGTACTAGACTATGTTGTGTATGCATGCAATGCACACTTTTATTAGTGATCACAATTGCAAGCAGTTCCTTCTATAATACAAGAGTTCTTTATTCCCTCCCAACCTAGCCTGATAAAAGTGAATTTCCTGGGAAATGAGACTAAAGCCCATAGCACCAAACCAATCAAAAGGGAAGCATTTGAGAAGATGGAGCTCTCTAATAATGCTGAACATTTACATCTGCTTTTGCAAGTTGTTTTTGTATTTAAGACTGAAGGAAACATACCGCTCCTCTGGAGTCTCCACATGAAATGTTCTTTCAATTACTGTGGTCCACTGGAGGCATCTGATGATGAATGTGTTTGGTTTAGGTCTCTCTGTCTTCATCAACTGGCACTCTAGCACAGATTGAGGGAAGAAAGTCATGGTACGTAAGCAGGTTTAAATAATCATTTGTCTTTATTCTTATCAGCAAACAGTTGTGATTAATCAGGCATAGAAATCTCTGTAAGTACCGTATTTTTCAGAGTATAAGACGCACCAAGGTTTTGAAGAGGCANGCAGAGTTAATTCCAGCCTCTAGTGTGAAGGCAACATACAAAGCAGAATTCATGAACACTCACAACACTTATGGTACTTGACTTTGGTACAGTAATATTTTGGGAAATATCTTAGCATCTATTTTTGATTAAGGAAAATCTCTTGGGATAATATGAATATAATATAAAAGATACCTCTGGGGCAAGGTATTCTGGTGTGCCACAGAAAGTCTTCATTGTTGCTCCATCCTTGATCCCTTCTTTACATAACCCAAAGTCTGTTATCTTTATGTGTCCATCTTTATCCAGCATCAAGTTTTCCAACTTAAATAAAAAACATATAAAAACATTAGACATGAAATCATCCGGATAAGTACTGAGAATCTTCAACATATTTGTAAAAGAATCTTTAATACGCTTGTAAAAAAAGTGTACTAAAATGATGTTTTTTGAAAGAACTGCTACAAATCTTACACTTACACTTTTAAGTGTTCATTACTGTAACACTAATGTTCCTCCATGTCCAATGATTCTGAGCAGCCTTCCATATTAGTATCAGAAAATTAAAACCAAAATCATATGACTATGGGGTTGACGCCTGATTTCAGAAGTTGTTTGCCACTGCCTGCTTCCTAAGGCTGAGAGTGTGTGACTGGCTCAAGGTCACCCAGATGGCTTTATGCTTAAAGTGGGATTAGAACTCTTGATCTCCACGTTTGTAGCCTGATGCCTTAACCACTATACCAAACTGATTCTCACAGCCTTACTCATTTCCAATGTCTTCTGAAAACTCATGCTTTTATGGCTGTCCAAAACTGTGGTAACCAGAAGTTGGACTGGATATTTGTTGTAAATTATAATCTCTCCACAGTAATTTTTATTTATTTATTTATCTTTCATACTTCTACACTGCTCATCTCATCTACCTGGCTTTTTTAAAGCCATTTTAAACATCACTATGATAACATTATGGCAGCTTTTTTCAACAGATATTCTCTGGCGTTTTAGGGGAGTCTGGGAATTGCAATTCCAAAACATCTGAAGATATCAGATTGATGATGATTTTATCAAGAAAACCAATGTTATCTCCATACTTGCTTGATCCTGTATTTTTGATTGGGAGCCACTCAAGAGTTTTTTACAAGCTGGGTGGATACATAAATGTTTTGAATAAATAAATAAATGTTGCAGATATGGGATTTGGAGATTAGAAGAATAGTGATCTACTGTTGTATAAATCCGTCAAGAAATTAGGATTGGATGGAGAATTTTCTGGATTATGTTATAGAGGACTAATCACCCAAGGCATCGGCTATCCATGCTTACATCCCCTGCTTCAAAGCTGCTGAAACAGAGAATCAGGACTGCATTATTTCCTTCAGAATGATGAATAATGGAGAGTAACCCTTTGCTAATTTTTCTCTCTCCCAGAATAAACAAATCCTCATGCAAATAGTAGCTATTTAAGATGGGGAAAACAGGGAGAATGATAATGGAAATAGCATGGAGGGATAAGTATTCCAATTACACCATTCTTTACATGTGGGAGTGGGAGAGGAATGAAATGTCAAATAATTTCCACTGTCTCACCTATATGTTGTATAAGAGCAACCCAGGCATATATTCTAGGAAATAGAGTTTTATAAAGTATTGATTCATTGGGAGTCATTGGAAAAAATATCTTTAGGATAATGTAACTGCTCTAACTCTAACTGTCCAGTGTCACTAGGAGTCAGGCAGCACCAAAATGTAATAAATAATAATAATGATTGCTATACTTTTTGGAGTATAAGACACACTCACCCCCCACAAAAAAGAGGATGGAAATGTTGGTGCGTCTCATATACTGAATACAGCCATTTTTGGACTCCCGAAACCCCGCCCTGAGGGTCCATTTACAGCAAAAATGACACGCGCAGAGGGTTTGGAAGGCCTGCAAAGTGCTCCAGTAGGCTGGGGAGAGCAAAAACGCCTGGGGGTTTGAGAGACCAAACACAGGGCACACAGAGGGTCTGGGAGGCCTGCAAAGTGCTCCTGGGTGCTGGAGAGAGCAAAAACAGCACTCCTGGGAGGTTTGGGAGACCAAAAATGTTTGCAAAAAATAGGACACACAGAAGGCTTGGGAGGCCTGCAGAGTGCTCCTGGGGAATGAAGAGAGCAAAAAAACCAAATGCGTGGATGCCAAAAAGTATTTTTTCTTGTTTTTCTCTTCAAAATCTTGGTGCGTCTTATACTCCGGTGTGTCTTATATAGTCCGAAAAATATGGCATATATGTTACTAGCCTTGCATAAATTTAGAAGAGGATTCCTTCTTCCTTTCAGATAGGGAGGGCTTATTTTTTGAAAGATAATGCATGCTATTTTGACTTTTTAAAAAAATTCTAGAAAAAAACAATGACCAATCGTCTCTGTACTATCAACAAAACCTTTTATCAATGCCTTCATTTAACCATCAGGAATCGGGCTCAACTCAACTCAGGAGTCTTTTGCTTTAACCATGGTTGCCTATTCAGACTGGCTGCAGTTCTTCCGAGTTTTGAATGGAGAAATGTCCCTCCTATCAGTGTTTACCTGAATTTATTAGGCTTAATATAGAACAGCACTTTATAAAAGGAGGGGAGCTGTAAGCGATATTAAAAATGTGATCAATGAAATGTGATCATCCAATACAATCTGGCCTTGGATGAGGCCAAATTTAAAAGTTCAGAGCGCTTTGATTTATTCATTCTGAGGATGATTTTCAATTTAGCTTCTTTAAAATGGTGTTTTGTACTGCGACTGTATTGTACAAATGAAGACCTCCAAGATCCCTTCCAATTCTGTTATTCTGTATTCAGCAAATGCATTTAAACGTTGATTTTGTATTGGTTTTCAGTACAAACTGAAAAAAAGAACATACATAGAGGTGTTTCTAAAACTGAATGCGATTTTTGACATGTGAGGAGAGAAGCCCTGCCTTATGCAGAGATGGGGAATCATTGATCAAACTAGCATTTTTAAAACAGATTTAGCACTACTCCACCTCCAATCTACATACCTTTAAGTCTCTATATACCACATTTTTCTCTGAATGTAGGTAGTCCAATGCCGATACAATTTCAGCTCCATAGAACCGGGCACGATCTTCAGAAAAAACACGTTCTCGTGATAGATGGAAAAATAGCTGGAAAGACAAATAGCTCCATATCAAAAGAAATTTATGCAATGTCTATAAAGGGAAGTCAGTAAAAATAATTAACATGCATAGCTTATTTCATGTTTCTGCTTGGCATATTTCCTTCTGGTTTTGTTAGGTCTTTTGTTAGATTTTTTTAAAAGCATTGTTGTATGTGTTATAATAGAGTCTAGTGCAGTGGTTCCCAACCATTTTTTGGCCATGCCCCACCTAAGCATCTCTAAAATCCTGAATCCCCCCCACCCCCGGTGACATATAATTCTTACTTTACTCAAAAAGTGAGCTCTACTCATGCAGAGGAAGCCTAAAAGGCCATCCATTAACTTGGCTTAAACAAGGTTCACATTGCCCCCATTAAAAATCAAATTGTCCCCATCCTGGGGTCCACGTTTGGAACCACTGGTCTGGTGATTAAGGCTAGAAACTGGGAAAGTGTGAATTCTAGTCCTGCATTAGGCATCAAAGCTGTCTCAATGGCTTTGGGCCAGTCACTCTCTTTGAGCCCAACCACTTCAAGAAAATAGGAGGAAAAATGAGTGCCAGCTATACTCAACCCTGACTTATTTGTCAAAATAATAAAGGTGGGATATTAATACATAAATTTATGACAAAAATGCCAAGGAGTAAAACTGCCTCCTTATACACACAACGCTTCTGCTCTATCATTAATTAAAGGCCTGTTCTTTGCAAGCTTTTTTAAAAAGTTAATAGACAAACTGAGAAGTTTTCCAACCATTAAAAAGACATCACTTAATAGCATTTGATTTTGAGGAACATGATCCTTACCTCCCCTCCATTAGCATATTCCATAACAAAACACAAACGGTCATGCGTCTGAAAAGAATATTTCAATGCCTATAAAAAAGTAGACAAAAATCTTACTTTTACATCATCTGTTATGCTTTATAACCAACCAGGAGTTTACTGGAGTTGGACCTGTGCCCTGAAACTTCACAAATCGCATCTGCTGTAACAGGAAATGATGAATCCCTCTCTACTGAATAAACCCCTGCCCCTTTCTAAAGGGAACACTTTCAGTATACACTATGAATATTCTTGTTTTAATTGCAAATTTCCTCTTTCTTTTCTCTTGCTTTTTATGCATATTCCTCATGGCACAGTCTTTTAGACTGTATTGAACAATACAATGCAATACAATAGCCAAACTGAAATAGCAAAATTTGTAGAAGAGTTTGCAATGCAACAGAACAGTTGTCAACTAAGATTGCTGTTTATATTGGAACGAAACAACTTTAACAATATTCAATAGTGTTCAATATTCTCCCTAATTTAACGTTTACCTCTGATGATTGTTACATGCATATTATCAAATAATGGAATAATGGTAGCAGTTGTAATAAAAGTAAAGTATATAATAAAGGAAAAATGAAATAAAGTAGACATTACTTTATTTAGGTTGGATATGTCTTACAATTCAGTAACGACATTCAGCTAAGCTTGAAAAGTGAAGGTAAGATAGATACAAGAAAGATGCTGGAGTATTTCATAATACTGAAGATTATTCCCAATTCTGTTTCCAAAATTGTGCACCAAGAAGACATCCTAACTATGATACTTATTATTTATTTATTCACATTTATATAGATGTTATTGAGTCTTTAATTACTGTTAATGTGCTTTTAATGATTTTTGTTGTATGATTCTGATTTTTTTGTACTTTTCTATGAGCTCAGAGTGATGTGTGTGAGACTGGTGGTTATATAAATTGAGCGAATAAATACACAAATGAAAGAGCTCTACTATATCTGATCTAAAGCTCCATCTAGCAAGTGTTTTCCCTTCCACTAATGATTCATTCCCAGCAACCAGAAATGCATTGCTTCTGAATGGGAAGCCCCCAAGTGGTGATGCCTCCACTCATCATGCAGACTTTTGCAGCGCAAAGAGTGCCAGCTTGGTTTGACATGCTCTCTATTTCGTTTTGCTTGGGCTGCAGCCCAGAAGTTACAGCTGGGGTTTCAAAGCCAGAGAAGGAGTCACAACGTTGGCCTTAGATAAAAATAAACATATCCATAAATAATAATGGATTGTATAAGACAGCATTTTCTGGATCCAGAACAAGAACTCTCCCCCTCCCAAAGCTCTGGCAAGTCTTGCTGAAGATCCATTAGTTGATCATGAATCACCTGGTTCTCTTAATGAAAGTAGGATAAAGGACTTTGTATTACAAAAGTTAAGGAAGTCAAAAGTACCGCAGATCCAAACTTTTCACTTGTTTATTTACTTTGCTTTCTATGCTTCTCAATTCCTATTTGCGCTGAAGTAACAGAACATACGATTAAAACCAAACTAAGACAAATACATGTGTTAATCTGATGTGCAGGAGTAATAATAAACTTTTTAGATTCAAACTTGTGGTGGGTTCCAGATCCGGTTGCAACCAGTACGGTGCAACAGGGCCGGGTGTCCACCACATGCACACGCGCGGTAGCACATGCGTACTTACCGCCCACGATGGCTCTGCAACGCTCCAGCTGCTTGCCGGAGTGTTGCGCAGGCGCCAAACGCTCCATACACGGAAGCCCCAATCGGCTCATATACAGGTAAGGACGGTGGGCGAGCAGGCCCTCCAGAGCACCGTACTGGAACAGTACCTGTTGCTCCCAGCAGGCACCGGTACACCTGTACCGGGGCATACCGGTCGTATCCCACCATGATTCAAACGCTCTCCTGAGGAATCATGTTTTCACTGCTCGTTGGAAGAAAATTAAGGGAAGGTGATCCAAATGTCTAGGGTCACATGTTTCACAAGAGGGAGGTATGATTACATGGCTGACCTTCCAAGCAGCTGTAGCAACCTGAGTTACCATATGCTGAACCAGCTGAAGGTTCTGCATAGTCTTCAGGACAGCCCTATATGCTGTGAGTTGCACATACACTGGGTGACAAAAGAGTCTCAGTGAGCTGGAATACAAGAAAGGGGAGCTTTCTTTTCCCTATAATTAGGGTAAATTCTGCAACAATTCTTACCAGGTGATCAAGCACAACTACAAGATTAGTTCTCAGACCTAAGGAGACCAGTGAGGAATTAAGGACTTTTGAAATGAAAAGGGATAGGCAGAAGATGATTTTTTTTCATAGTAATTAGCCTCAATCAAAAATGATTTTTTAAAAACAAACATGTTTTGGAATACCCTATTAGAAGTGTGTTCCCAAATAAATAACACTAGAGAAATGTTGGTATCTCTGAAAAATTGCTTACATGGTATTTGGGTTGACTGCAAGCATCCTGCTATTTTCCACAGAAGGCTGGAAAACAAATGTGTTCGTAAGGAAATGCATGCCTGGAAGAGTATGAAGATGACAAGATATGATGCTGCCTACTGACTTGTTTGGATTCAGAAAGGGTTGGACTAATTCACAAAAGTCATAAAGACCAATGGCTATTAGACTTGATGGCTGGTTGTCTCCCTCTGAAGGCCACCTGTAGGGAGAAATATGGGCTTCCTTGTGTGGTTGGTTAGCCACTGTGAGAACAGAATGCTGGACTTGATGGATCACAAGTCCAACCCACCAGAGAACTGCTGATGTTATGTTCTAAACTTCTGCCAGGTTACATATTTTATAAGCTTATTTCCAAGGCTGTACTAAAAAAAAAAAA